CAGAAAAATCATCCATAAAAATTTCTATGTATTCTTCTATCATATCAAAAAAAAATGGAAAGCATGCACCTTTGAAAAGTGGCAGGAGCATTGCATAAGCCGAAAGGCATCCTCCGGTATGCGAATATTCCATATGGACATGTAAAAGCAGTCTTCTCCTGATCCTCTGGTGCCACAGCTATCTGATTATACCCTGAATAACCATCCAAGAAACAATAGAAAGCATGTCCTGCCAACCTCTCTAGCATCTGATCCAAGAAAGGAAGTGGAAAATGATCCTTCCTGGTTGCCTTATTCAGCCTCCGGTAGTCAATGCACATTCTCCAACCAGTGATTGTCCTTGTGGGAATCAACTCATTATTCTCATTTTTCACCACAGTCATCCCCCCTTTCTTGGGCACTGTCTGCACAGGACTCACCCAAGCACTGTCTGAAATAGGGTAAATCATCCCAGCATCAAGCAACTTCACCACCTCCTTCCTCACTACTTCCTTCATAGTGGGGTTAAGTCTCCTCTGTGGTTGCCTTACTGGTTTGACCTCTTCTTCCATCAATATTTTGTGGGTGCAAAAGGAAGGATTAATACCCTTAAGATATGAAAACTGCCATCCAATAGCCATTTTATTCTTCTTGAGTACCTTAATCAACTTCCTTTCTTCCTCATCAGACAACATTGCATTAATGATTGCTGGATATGTTTGATCATCCCCAAGGAACACATACTTCAAATGTGAAGGTAATTCTTTAAGTTCTACCTTAGGTGCTCCTTTTGGAATGTCATCAATCTTCTTCTCAAGCTCTTCCACTTCTGGCTCTTCTTGGTAATCTTCTGTACCTGTCTCTTCTTCTGATCTTTCTTCCTCAACTGGGAATTCTTCTTCTTTATTCACTTCTTCCACAACCTCCTGTATCACATCCAATCTAAAACAATCCCACACATCAACAGGGTGCTTGATAGTTTCAAATACATCAATTGTAACTGTTTCCTCATCCACCCTTAGTAACAACTTTCATTGTTCAACATCTATCAAAGATCTTGCAGTTGCTAAAAAGGGTCTTCCTAACAATAGAGGACTTTCTGTGTCCTCTTCCTCCATGTCAAGAATCACAAAATCCACTGGAAAAATAAACTTGTCTACCTTGACCAAGACATCTTCAACCACACCTTCAGGCCTCTTGATAGATCTATCTGCAAGATGCAGAATAAGATTGGTCTCCTTCAAAGTGTTGATTCCCAAAGCTCTACATACTGTCAACGGCATCAAGTTTATACTGGCTCCCAAATCGCACAATGCCTTTCCCACCTCCACATCTCCTATAGCAATAGAGATACTGAAGCTTCCAGGATCTTTCATTTTTGTTGGAAGCTTTTTCTAGATTAGGGCACTACACTCTGCTGTTAGGGCCACTGTCTCACCATCAGTTAATTTCCTCTTCTTAGTAAGAAGATCCTTCATGAACTTTGCATAGTGAGGCATATTTTCTAGTGCTTCAGAAAATGGTATGTTAATTTGTAAATTTTTTAAGATATCCAGAAATCTTGCATAGTGCTGTTTCTGAATCTCTTGCTTCAACCATCGAAGGTAGAGAACTTTAGCATAGGGAGATAAAATAACTGGCTGTCCTTTCTTGTCAGCAATCTTCTTCTTTTCCCACTTCATCATCTTTTGTGGGGAAGCATTTTTACCAACTTCTACCTCTCCTTTATTCTTATCGTCCTTCCCTTCCTCTTCTTTCCCAATTCTAACTATAATATCTCTAACAACTACTTCCTTCTGACTTTTCTCATTTCTCATCTTCTCTACTTCATCATCAGTGACTACATCTTCAACCACAACCTCTTCTTCATTCTTTTTATTTTCCACATTCTTTTTCACTGGTTGAAGTACCAACCCACTTCTTGTCATAATTGCTTTACAGTGCTCCTTAGGATTCACTAATGTATCACCTGGAAATTTCCCCTGTGGTCTCTCTGATATCTGTCTTGATAATTGACCAATCTGGGTCTCCAAATTTCTGATTGATGCTTCCTGATTTCTGAAAGAAGTTCTGGTCTCCTGCATGAATGCAGTTGTCTCTTCCCTGAATGAATTAGACCCCTGGATATAATCCTGAGTTATCTTAGATAACTGAGCAAACGCTTTCTCCCATGCAGCAGGATCACTTGACTGCTCCTTCATATGTGGTGGTGGAGGATGTAATGGTGGGTTCAATTGATGGTTGGAACTATAGCTGAATCCTGGGTGTTGATTCTTGTTTTTCCATGGTGGCACATAAACATTCCTTCCCTGATTGTTGTAGTTCCTTTGATTATTCTGATCATACCACACTCCATTCACCTCTGCTTGTTCTGGTGATCCCCTATAATCACACTCCTCTGTCACATGGCCTTTGCCATAGATAGCACATACACTTTTGGTTTCCACAGAAGCTACCTTTTGTGAAGAGAGTTGCTTAATAAGGGTATCTAATTGTTGCTGCTGTTGTCTCTGTGTCTGCATCAGTTGATCATTCCTTGCCAACAGAGCATCATACCCATCCAACCTGATGATTCCTGTCCTTCTGTCAGCCACTGGGGCATTATCAAATTCCTGAGATGCCAATGACTCAAAGATATCCAAGGCTTCTTGAGGAGTCTTGGTAGTCAATGATCCACCAGCAGTGGCATGCACCAAGGTTCTAGTGTTAGTGGTCATTCCTTGCAGGAAGATTGCTGCTTGTTGCCATGCCTCAATTCCATGTTGTGGACATTTCCTCAACAAAGTCTTGAATCTCTCCCAAGCCTCATAAATGGATTCTGACTTTTTCTGCTTAAAGCTTGTAATCTCATCCTTCAACTTGGCCCTCTTGGATGCTGAGAAAAACCTCTGCAAGAACTTGGTTTGCAGATCATCCCAAGTTGTTATACTTCCTTGTGGCAATGATTGCAGCCATCTCCTTGCATCATCCGTCAGTGAATGAGTGAATAGTCTCAACAGAATTGCATCTCTTGTGACACCATTTATCTTCACAGTATCACTCAACAATAGAAAATTCTCTATGTGCAAGTAAGGGTCCTCTGCACTGGTTCCAGCAAACTGATCCTTCTGCACCAAATGTATCAAAGCAGGCTTCAATTCAAAGTTGTTGGGCTCCACTGTTGGGCGCACAACACTCCTAATTGGAGGAATCATTGCAGGAGTCATGTACTCTCCCAGTGTCCTCTGTGGTGGTGGTGGTCTGTGATTCTCTGCCATTATCTCTTCCTGACTAGATTCACCAATTTCTTGCAACTGCCACCTTTGCCTGGCTGCCCTTTTGTGCTTCCTCAATGTCCTTTCTAATTCTGGATCATACAACAACAAATTCGGATCAAGTGTACCTCGCATATACCAGAATCAAAATTGACCAAAAACTTAACATAAACTAAAATACTGAAAATAAAAGGATTCAATCTCAGAATTCTATGGTATGAATTAGTGTTGAAAAACAAATTCCCCGGCAACGGCGCCAAAAACTTGTTGGACGTTTAGCAAGTGCACTAGTCGTACAAGTAATAAAATGATGAGTAAAGATCGTTCCCACGAGGAATTGTATTCAAGCACCAATAAACCATAAAAAACTAATTTGAATCAGATAAGAGTTTGTAAAAATCATGAATAATTTGTCACCAAAAAATTGATTGTAAGTAATTTGACACAAAGTAAATATGGATTAAGAATTAATAAAACAACAAGTAGTCAGAAAACAACTTTCCTCCATAATAACCCATGTAAAAACTGATCATATGATGAATTCCTTTCCATGTGATGTTAATCAACCTTTTACTTATCATCAAGATGTAATCCCTTACTACCCTGATAGATACATTAATCAGAAACCCCAATCCCTTGGTGATCTCTTTCTTAATACATGCATGAAATACTAAAGTCTTAAGATTACATTAGAACTCTAGCATCAATCCCTTGAGTACTAGAATTCTGATGTTGAGATTATCAGATACAGAAGTCATATAAACATCCCTGTTCTATACTACTTCCTTGATAGAAATAATTAAATCAGAAAATCTCAAATCAACACATGAAAAATACTTCATCATATTAATCAGATCAACATAATATTATCATGGAGTTCTATTGCATTCAGACTACAAAGACTCTACTCAGACATGACTAAGGAATAGATAAGAGAAGAAGAATCAAACTTAATTTCCATGTTGAAAGTCTTCAATCTCCAAACTATTACAAAGAAATCCTAATACAACAACTAAAACACTAAGAGAATTTAGAGAGAAGTCAGACTAAAGTTTAAGAGAGAGAGAGAAAATATCAGATCTCTCAGATCCATATTTTCTTCTAAGTGTCAAGGCTTTGCCTTTTATAGTGTTACAATTAAAAACAGAAAACTGATGTGGGCGCTAAAACGTCCATAAGTGACCGTTTTAGCGTCCTTGCTTTACGTATGCTCAACTGCTTTTAACTGACTCCAACGCTAAAACGTTAAGGAATGACCGTTTTAGCGTCCAAACTTGGTGAATGCTCAACTGACTTTAACTGACTCCAACGCTAAAACTCTTGATTTGGACGTTTTAGCGGTGGAGACCAGAGTCCTTTTTCCACTTCAGGGCGCTAAAACGCTTATTGCAAGCCGTTTTAGCGCCCAAGACCAGCAATTTTCCATCTTCTAAGTGCAGTAGTGCGCTAAAACGCTCTGTGTGGGCGTTTTAGCGCTCATCACCAGCAAGTTTTGGCCTCTTCCTGTAGCAGGGCGCTAAAACACTCAGTATGGACGTTTTAGCGCTCAACACTTAGGCAATTTTTCTCCTCTTGAGCTCCAGAATCTTCTTCCTTCTCCAGTTGTCTTTCAAGCTTGCTTTTCCTACAAGAATCATACAAATTTCCAATAAATCTCTTGAACTTGTAATTGAGGTCATCTTAGGACATTAACCTTGTTTTTTTCATCATTTAATCACACAATTTGATCCTAATTCCTACTAAAAACCATGATGAACTAAGGGTTCATCAGGCCTCATATTGTAGAATTAAGGATTGAAGTGCCTGTTGCTTCTTCCTTTCATCATCACGGACATATCGGTTGGGATCCGAATACCTTCCTGCAACGAAGCGTTGAATGACAGTGTCTGTACTGGGATAGCCACAAGCATGAAGGTTGCCATTCTTCTCAGAGTTGATGATCAATGCTATTTCTGCCTCGCATAGAATGGATAATTCAGTGACTTTGTTGAAAAGCCCTACTTCATGTTTGGGGAAAGTCATTCTTTCCTTGATCTTTTGTTCCACTTTCTTGATTTCAAATTTTCTCTTGCGTGTGTTTGGCTTTGTTGCCATGTTTGTGTTTGCTTGATAAAGATAGACTCACTGTGATTTAAGAAAAGAGAAGAGAAAGGAGAGTTGATTATAATGAGAGAGACTGTTTCTATATATAACCCTTTGATTACCTATTCACTCAATATCTTTACATATCTAACACATATCTTGCGTATCAATAGCTGTATTCACACAACTCACAAGAGTACGCTTAAATATATTTCCTTTTTTAATTAGTTATCGCTATTAATACATATAACTGCCTATCTGAAAGTTATACAACTTCCTTTTTTTATGTCCGTTACTTCGATTTCCGAATTGATCCCAAAAATCATTCATTACTTTATTTTATTATTATTATTACTAGCTACCAGAATACCATATTTTATAATTACTTCCTATTAATATATAACCCGTTTTGATTTTACAACATCAAATTACTTTTCGAGTGAAAAGTTGATGGACATACAATTGACTGGTTTCATCATTGTTGATATTGATTATAATGACAATAATAGAAAGTTGATTGGCTCCATTAATATTAAAATTTTAAATTTAATTTATTAGCACTACTTTTTATTAGAAATAAAGATAAATCAATTAGTTGACTAGAGTAAAGCAGCGACTTTCCTTTAATTTGTACAAATTTTTTATAAGTAATTTAAAACGGAAACAAGAGATTCTACTCAATGTAATCAAAATCGAGATATTACTTGACATGTAAATCATGGAATTGAAGATATGGATCCTAATATCTCATTTAAAATACAAAGTTATACTCAAACATATAAATATATAATAATAATAATAATAATAATAATAATAATAATAATAACAACGTAACTCAATTTTTAGATCTATCATAATTTTATAATAGTATTATTATTTAAAATCCACATATTACAAACAGTGTTGTGAAACCCGAGTCGACTCAAAATCTGGCAAACCGATCATCGGACCGGTTCGGATCAAGCATTGTGTAAGAACCCGCACCGCTAAATTAGGAATTAAAAAATTTAATTGTGATTTAAGAAATAATTCCATAATTGACTTTGAATAAATATGGAAAGAGCATAATAATTATATTAAGTCACTTTTCAGAAAGAAAGTGAAAACACTGGGTATTTCACGGTATAAATGAATAACGGCGAAATAATCCAAAAAATAGAAATAAAAATATGAATATTCCTAGAAAAATATCTAGGTTAAGAATATCAAGTTTGGGGTAAAAATAATAAACAATGATGTCAGAACTAACACCGACTATTTCGCTGTATAAAACGCGTACCAGTGAAGCTTGTCTACGAAGGCAGGGGTTACACTATTGATTTGTTTATCTTGCCCCTGGCCTCTGTTAATCTGATTTTGGGTATGGATTGGTTGTCTCAAAACTGCGCAATGATTGATTGCCGCGGAAAGATGTTGATATTATCTCATGAGAAGCCCGCTGTTTGTCCGTCTCCTTATCTGTCTGTCTGTCAAGATGTTAAGTCCTTAAAGGTTGGTGATCTTGGTTATGTGTTCTTGGGTGGAATTGTTGGTGATAAGGAAGAAGAAATTTCAAATATTCCGGTGGTTAATGAATTTGCTGATGTATTTTCTGATGAGATACCAGAGTTTCCACCTGAGAGGGAGATTGAATTCTCCATTGACTTGTTGCTTGGTATGGGGCCTATCTCTTTGGCTACATACCGGATATAGCCACTGGAGCTGGCTGAGTTGAGGAAGCATATTGAAGAGCTATCTGCAAAGAACTTTATCAGTCCGAGTGTGTCTCCATGGGGAGCACCAGTAATATTTATAAAAAAGAAGGATGGTAGCATGGGATTGTGTATTGACTATCGGCAATTGAATAAGGTTACGATTAAGAACAGGTACCCTTTACCCCATATTGATGATCTTCTGGACCATTTGAGGGGTGCTTGTGTGTTTTCGAAGATTGATCTCCGGTCCGGATACCACCAGATCCGGATTAAGCCGGAGGATGTGTCTAAAACGGCGTTCCGATCCAGATACGAACATTTTGAATATCAGGTGATTCCTTTTAGGCTTACTAATGCCCCGACGGTGTTCATGGATTATATGAATCGCATCTTTAAACCATATCTGGATCAGTTTGTTCCTTCGGGCTCTGTATTGATTCCACTCCTGCTCCATCAATTCCATTCTTCCAAGGTAGGTGGCCATGCTGGAATCCGTCGAACACTCATCCGGATTAGTGCCTCTTTCACCTGGAAAAACATTAAAAAAGACATTCAGGAGGACATACAGTAGTGTGAAGTATGTCAAAAGGCTAAATCTTAGAACCATTCACAGATATTCTCGTGGTGGTGGACAGACTTACTAAAGGAGCTCATTTCGTGGCCTTACCATCAAAATATTCAGCAGCGAAGGTAGCTCAGGTATTTTGGGACACGGTAGGGAAGCTACACGGACCCCCAAGATCCATAGTTTCAGATCGTGACCCCATATTCACTAGTGAATTCTGGAAGACTCTTTTCAAGTTACAGGGCTGCGCCTCACTTTTCCTCTGCATACCACCCTCAATCTGACGGCCAGACAGAGAGAGTGAACTAGAGTCTCGAACAATACCTCTGTTGCTTCGTGCGTGACAACCAGTCAACATGGCATCATTTCCTCAGTTGGGCAGAGTTCCACTATAACACTGAATATAATCGATCCACGCAAACCACCCCATTTCAGGCCACGTATGGACGTTCTCCACCTTGCCTTTTAGCTTACACCTTGGGATCCACTTCCCTTGAAGCGGTGGACACAGATCTCCATCAGCGCACGCTGGCCCTAGCATCATTGAAACAGAACTTAAAAAAGGCACAAGCTTTAATGAAGGCATAGGCGGACCGCAAACGTAAAGACCATACCTTTCAAACCGGAGATCAAGTACTCTTGCGACTTCAACCATATCGTCCGTTGACTATACACCGACGATCGTCACACAAACTTAGTCTATGATTTTATGGTCCTTTTGAAGTTCCGGAGCGAATCGGAAAGGTAGCATATCGTCTGAAACTACCTGAAGGGTCAAGAGTCCACCCAGTCTTCCATGTATTGCTCTTGAGGCCTTTCATCTCTAATGGGTACCACAAGGTCCACCCTGTAATCGCGGACCTCCAAAGCACTCCACAGATGCATGTTTCAGCAGCTGTTGTAGCTCAGCGTGTTATCTGGAGACAGGACCGTGAGATACCCCAAGTACTCGTACAATGGCAAGGATTGCCACCGGAGGAGTCTACCTGGGAAGACGACAAGATGGTGTTTGGGAAAGGAGTTTCAAAGATTCAACCTTTACCGTTTCCTTTGAACGACGAGAGTAAAGAAGGTGTAGAGGAAACGGCGGCTAAAGGAAATGTGCTGGGACATCCAACTGACTTGGGTTTAGAGTACAACATTAATTTAGCCGCAGAGCCAGCCAATCAAATCGTGGCAGTTGAGGGACCACGTGCCTCTTCCATAACAAACACTCCAGAATCTTCCCACTGACAGTTTATCTGGGCCAGTGGACGAAGCTATTGGTCCAAGACATCTCGAGGACGAGATTGATTTCGTAGGGGGAAGGGATGTTGTGAACCAATCTATTGGGTCGAGGATAGCTAGGCCCAATCGAGTTAAGAAGCAGCCCAGTTATTTGAAGGATTATTTCCAATAAGTGAATTGGCCCATATGATTAATAGAAGTTGTTGTAATTAGTAATGGAAGGGAAAATAGAAAAGATTGTAACAGAATTGGTTATATAGTCCAAGGAGGGGCGTGAAGAATAGACAGAAAATTGTTGGACAATCTCTCTCTTTTTCTCTCTCTCTCATCATTTTTCTTCTTCTCTCTGACGTTTATCTCCTTCTTTCTCAGATCTAAGTCCTTACAGAAACTCTATGATTCACCAATACACTAATAAAGATTGCATTAAAAGAACCCAACATTGCGATGAAATTATAAATTTATAGCCAAAAATCTAAAAGACTAAAATGCAACGGCAATCTCTCACTGCATACAACACTAAAGAAGGAGTAACCTGGACTCTGTAAAATGAGAGATTTCAACTTGAGCGTATGGAATTATCAGAGTCAGTAATTTGAGAGAAATGTTTGGGAGATGATAAAATCGAGAATGCTAAAAGAGAGGGTTAGGGTTTGTACCCGATTCCAATATATTTGACGATAGCTTTTTAAGAATAAAGGGATCGGGTTTAATGTGTTTTCAACAATTCACCGGGGGCGGTTTCTCAAATCCTAAATTTGGCATAATGAACATTCTACCAAAACCTTCAATATCATTATCAAACGATTCCAAGCCAACAAACACCCAATGCAGAAAAGACAAAAACTTTGGAACGAACCTGTGGTGGTGTGGTTCAGAAGAAGCCAAGAAGGACCAAGAAGAGAGAGAGATACACGAAAAAGGGCGTGAACAGAAGCAAGAGGGGCAATACTATATTTGCTCTGAAAGAGGTGCTATGAGAAGACACCCCCACATAGCTGCAATCCCACCCATAAGCACCTTTTTCTCTATACTTTCCCAAAACCGTATCCGAACGTTGTTTTCTATGGTGGAGTTAATCTCGTTGATCTCTAACTATGAGTGTGAAATTTGATTAAATTGTTTTTTATTTTTAAAATCTACCTCGATAACACTTTGGTTTTATCTGTCTTTGTCGTGTTGCTTTTATCTTGAATATTTCGTTAGAAAGATCAATTGTAACATCCCGCCTAATTAGGAACCTAGTTAAATTACAATTAGGAATGGGGTAGAGTATTTGCCTTCGGATTGTATAAATGTTTGCTTTAGAGCCATGAAAGGTGCATACCTATTTAGGGCATGTGAAGTTCTAGTTATAAGTATAGGAATAATTTAATTATTACTTAAGAAAGCATGTGTGGCAATCCGAATTATATGTAATCTCGTTTTGATTTCTTTGGTTACTAGGATGGAATTACTAGGGAGTTAGGAAAAATTTATTTGAATTATGATAAGTGAGCATTTATTTGAAATAGGTGAAATCATAG